CGTCCCACCGTCGTCGAAGAAAGTGGCAAGCAAGGCGCAGGAGAACTTTGGATAATTGGGGAAGATGTCCAGAGGTTCAGTAGGAAGGGAGAAGTTGTCGCGGTGGGCGATTTCAACTCCAGCGTAGGGAAAGCTTCCAGTAGACGACAGGCGATCGGGCAGCACGGAGAAGACAAAGTGAATGACAACGGAGTGAGGATGCTTGAATTCTTGGGAAGCAACGAACTGATGGTGTTGAACGGTAGGAGGGAATGCGATAAGCCGGAGTTCACAAGGCAACGGGCAGTTTGCAATGAATACTCGATCCTCGAATACATCCTGGTAGATAGAGGGAGCACGCAGATCCCTGCACGGAAGTGCGATATGTATAGGTTCAACCGACGACTTCCTCATATGGGCAAACATCGACCGATCTAGAAAGATGGAGAGTAAGAAACGGAGGAAAGTGTTGCGGTGGAAAGTAGAGCGTTTGGGAGACGGAGGGGACACGGGATGAATTCCAGAAGGGGCTGGCTGGTAGTGTAGAATCCTTCAGGAAACTGCTGAGAAGCGTCGAAGACGGACAGGTAGACGTACAGGCAGCAGGGGACAGGGTGATTGAAGGGTGGGAGTCCATCGTGAACGCAACGGCAGAGAGAGTAGTGGGAAGGAAGGTGGTACGATGTGGGGTATCGGTTAAGTGGTGGGATGACGAGCTGAAAGAAGAAATAGGGGAACGTAGAGAAGTCTTCAAGCAGTACCTGAGTGAGGCGTCTGAGGAGAGTTGGGAAAAGTACAGGGCCAAGAGAAAACAGGTGAAGGGACTAGTGAAAAAGAAGAAAAAGTGTATTTGGGACGAAGTAGTGCAGAAGGCCAACGGAGGCCTGGAGGGGAACGTCAAGCAGATGTGGGAAGGGATTAGTGGAATGGTAAAAAAGACCGCGCAAGGGGGGGATACAGGGGTCGCAACTTTGCGAGGTGTGAACGGTGGATTAGTCAGCAGTGGGAAGGGAAAAAGGACACTACAAGAGACTTGGAGTACCGTCGGAGAATGGAGCTTTTGACCAAGTGTTTAAGAAAGAGGTATTAAGAAGGAGGTGGACGCATGGGCCCAAAAAGAAGAAGAGACATCGAAGGCAGACGTTGGGAACGTAGAACTAGAAAAGGAGTTCACTGAGGACGAGGTTGAGGCGTGTGTGAACAAGCTGAAGTGCCACAAAGCAGCAGGAGCGGATGGGATAGTCAACGAGTTCATGAAGTTTGGGGGGAAGGGGATGATCCAGCTGATGGTACTGCTGTACAATTGGGTGTGGAAAAACGAGTATACGCCAAGTAGATGGAGGGAAGGAGTGGTTGTGAACTTGTTCAAGAAAGGAGACAAGACTGACCCAGGAAACTACAGGGGGATCACACTGTTGAACACAGTAGGAAAAGTGTTCTGTAAGCTGCTGAACGATAGGATAGTGGGAGTATTGGAGAAGGAACATAGCATTAGTGAGGGCCAGGCAGGTTTCCGCAAGAAGAGGGGGTGCGTAGACCACGTGTTCACGGTAGGGAGAATCATCCAAGGTAGAAAGAGGGCGGGAAAGCCGACGTACTGCTTCTTCCTGGACGTGAAAAAGGCATACGACACCGTATGGAGAAATGGGTTGTGGAAACAACTGTCCAAATACGGGATCAAGGGGAAAATGTGGAGAGTGCTGAAGAAGATGACAGAGTGTACGAAAAGCGCGGTCATGCTAGACGGAGAACTGTCAAAATTCTTCGACATTGAGCAGGGGGTCCCACAAGGTTGCACGCTGTCCCCAACATTGTTCCAGGTGTTCATCAACATCTGTTGGAAGTCGTAGAGGCAGTCCGGGAGGGAGAAAAAGTAGGGGACACGGAAACGTGGTTTCAGGAATGCTGTTATGCGGATG